AAAAAAAAAAACACCAAAAAAAAACTTAAAATGAAAAGAAAAAGACATCTGTAAGCAAAGGTCATAAGTGAAATTATCAAGTCAGTCTTTGCAGGGCTACATATGCAATTTTTAAGAAAATGTATTGGGGTTGGGGATTTAGTTCAGTGATAGAGCGCTTGCCTAGCAAGCACAAGGCCCTGGGTTTGGTCCCCAGCTCCAGAAAATAAAAATAAATAAAAATAAAAAAATAAAGTCATGTACCACCATGCCCACCCACCTCCTTAAAAAAAAAGAAAAGAAAAGAAAAAAAAAGAAAATGTATCTGCAGAGAAAGATGATAAGTCCCTTAGGGCACTTTTTAGTCACAGGAACTGGTTATTAGAAGTAGGAACTACAAAGCAAGATTCAACTAGATTGTGGTTTTTGACAGCATACCATAGATTCTTGGTTAGTAAAAAGTTAACTGGTAGAGATTTGTATCAGGGAAGAAAATAAAGACAGCAATTTCTTTCCACTGTGTACAAAGACATTTTAAAGAGTAACGCCTTGCCGGGGGGTGGGGGGGGTGGGGGGGTGGTGGTGGTGGTGGTGGTGGTGGTGGTGGTGGCTGTGGCTGCAATCCCAGCAGAGGCAGAGGCAGGTAGATCTCTAAGTTCAAGGCCAGCCTGGTCTACAGAATGAGTTCCAGGACAGCCAGGACTACATAGAGAAAACAATAGGAATTCTCCGTACCCAGTTGCACTCACTACATGGCCTAGGTGGCCTTGAGCTTACAGCAGGAAGAACTTTTCTTCACCTTGGTTCTCATACCTGAGAGATGTGACTAAAACACTGCAAAGCTGTCTCCACAGGACTTTTGAAGAACTTCTTCTCTTGAGGCTTTAACTATGAAGAGAGTAAGACACACAGTGAGAATATTCACAACAAAAATGAAAGAAGATACTGACAACAGAATAAAATAACTCTATTTTTTACAACTGCTATGTTCAAATTTGTTTCTCATCTGTGTATATACTTCCTACTTACTGTCCAGGGACTGGATGAGGCAGTTTGTGATGAGGGTAAAAACTTACATTATCAGAAAGAGCCAGGTGCTTGCAAGGACTTCCACACACTGCACATTTTTCTGAGAGAAAAGGGGAAAAATATTTGTTCTCAAAGGCAGGAGGTAAGATTTTTCCTAAAGTAAGTGATAACTGTCAAGTAAGCTAGCAAGAAAAGAAATAGGTTCTTAACTAAATTTTGATTATCATTAAGAGATTAACTTAATCTCTGTTCTCTAAATCAGTATTTCCAAACAAACAAATATGCTGAAGTATGAGGCTTTGCACTATGCTTATCTCTCTCTTCTTTCCTTTCTTTCTTTCTTTTTTAAAGATTTATTTATTTATTTATTATATATAGTGTTCTGCCTGCATATATCCCTGCCTGCCAGAAGAGGGTACAAGATCTCATTATAAATGGTTGTGAGCTACCATGTCGGTGCTGGAAATTGAACTCAGGACCTCTGGAAGAGCAGCCAATGATTTTAACCTCTGAGCCACCTCTCCAGGCCCCTTTCTTTGTTTTTGAGACAAGGTCTTGTAAATGTAGCCCAGGCTGGCCTGGAACTTGTAGCAACCCTCCTGTCTCAGCTTCTGAATATTGGGACTAGTAGCATTTACTGGTAGGATCTATGTGCCAACAGAAGTACTGGAATACATTTGCAAGTGTTCTGGGATGAATACAAGAGTACCAATGATTTTCACTCTAGGTGACTTTCTAAAAAAGATTTACTTATGAATGTTTTGCCTTCATGTATGCCTGTGTACTGTGTGCATGTATGGTACCTGAGGAAACCAGCAGAGGTGTCAGATCCTCTGGAACTGGAGTTACAGACAGTTGTGAGTCTCCATGTGGGTACTGGGAATTGGACCTGGGTCCTCTAGAAGAGCAGCCAGTGCTCTTAACCACTGGGCCACCTTTCTAGCGCATGACTCTTTTTAAGCCTCTCTGCCTGATCTTGGGCACTGTAAGAGGCTGGCTCCTGAGTTACCCCACCCAGCTGTCACCTTGCTAATATTCCTAGATCTTGCTTTGATGGTCTCCTACTTTTCAAATATTGAATCTGAAAGAAGCAAGGTGTAAAATTTCTAAGTTTTCCTTATAAAAAGCAGTATTAGTAGTGGTGCCGATGATTAAATGCCACAGGGCTGGGGATGAGGCTCAGTGACAGAGTACTTGTTTACCATGCATAAGACCCTAGGGTTCATCCATTAAAAAAATGCCATGTCAGGAAAAAGCATTACATGGCTTTATGCTTCAGAGACAATCACTCCAAAGTGAGCTGCTGTCACCATAGTGAAAAGTCTCATTGCATCAGCAGATAACTCAAAAGGGTCATGAGAGTCACACGGGAAAAGTTCTCCAGATACTATTTAATCTCACTAGTCTTTCCTTGGGGAATAAAGTTTCTTTCCCAGTCTGCCCTCCATGTTGTTCTCAGTATAAGTTAGCAAGTGAAAAACATTCTACTTAAAAAAAAAAAACAAAAAACAAAAAACAAAAAAAAAAAAAAACAAAATTTCTACAGCTCTCTAGAACCAGCAAGGTAAGTTCAGGATCTTTACCCTGGTGGACAGAAATTTCTATCATTTTCCACTGCCTACCTCTTTAGCTTCATCTTTCACCATTTTTGCCTTTCTCTGTATAATCTCAACTCTGTGGAAGCATCTGCACTGCAGTTTAATGACATGTCATTACACATGCTACTGTTGCAATTTTTTATGTGTTTTTATTTTACATACATGAGTGTTTGCCTGCATGTATCTATGTGTGCCACATGAGGTGTGTAGAGGCCACAAGAGGGCATCAGATCCCCTAGAATTAGACTTACAGATGGTTGTGTGGCACCATGTGGATACTGAAAACCAAACCCAGGTCCTCTGCAAGAGGAGCAAGTGCTCTTAACCACTGAGACATCTATCCAGACCCCACTGTTTTAAATTTGAAAGATCTTTGTGAAACTCAGCAAACTCCAGTTTGTTGTCCAAAACCCTACTGCAGCAGCATGTCTTCTGTTTTCCTTGATCAAAGTAACCCTGTCCTAAGTAGGGTGAATTCTCTCTTCTGGGATTTAGATAATTTACAGTTTTTGTCACTGTTATTAGTCTTAGATAGGATCTGTATGTTGCCCAGACTGGCCTTTCACTCCTGTATTCAAGTAACCAACCCTCTTGACTGAGCCTCCCCAGTAGCTATAGTGATATACTACCATGTGAGCTCACCCAGACCTCCTAAATGTTTGCACATTAATAAAACAAATAGTTAGGATTAGTGGTGTAGCTCAGTGATTTTTACAGGGTATTTGTCTAGCATTCCAGAGGCCCTGGGTTCATTTCCCAACACTCCAAAACAAGTTTCTTTTCTTTAACACAGGGTCTTCCTTTGTAGCTCTGGCTGGTCTGGAACTCCTCACTAAATCAGGCTGGCCTCAAACTCCAAGATCTGCCTGAGTTAGCCTCCCAAGTGCTGGGATTAAAAGGCTTGTGCCGCTGGGCGGCGGCGGCGGCGGCGGCGGCGGCGGCGG